TTTAAACCTCCTTGATTTAAAGTTATCACCCAATCCCAAATACAAGAGGAAGGGGGAAAAAAAATCCCTCCTTCAGATCTATATCCCCAGCTGTCTGAACCTAGCATCATCTTCAAACTCTAGGGGAAGCTTATGAAGAGCTGCCTCCACTGTCCTGCATCTTAGTTGCCTTATCCCAACGCATCTATTGTAGAGAAGAAAGCAATTAAAATATATCAAGAGATGTGCACCAGCCAAATATATGATAAATTCTACCATATACACCCCTCATGTATACATATTAATGATCACCTGCCCACTTGTATACATCTGTAAATGCAGACTAGCAGCAGTTCTAAACCAAAAAGATAGCAAATGCACATATATTCCAAATATGAAACAATTCACATTTTAACTTTCAGAGAAAACAATTCAAATAAGCAACAATTCAATTTTCTTCAGAAGTGCATTTCAGCATTAAAATAACATTTAGCTCACATCAGAGTAATAATTAATTATATGCTTTTAGCAAGTGGATGAGAGGACTTTCCTAAAATTCACTGCTTAAAACTGGTTTATTAAATGGTGCAGCTCTTAACTCTGCTTAACTACTATTCATAGACTACTATAATCTCCCACTGATATGTCTCAGTGTTTCTAAGGGCTACCAATTCATGGAACAGCAACCAGAATCTCTCATCAATCCCTCAGTATACCTGCTGCCTAAAATAAAAAAATTATAATCTGTGTAGGTTATAAGAGTTCAAATATCTTGCATAAGCCAAGGCTTGTTTCACCATGATTTACTGTACAACTGAAAACACATGGTGAGCTATAAACCATGGTTTATAAACTAAATTGGTTGGGTTTGCATAAACCACAGAACCAAATCAAACTACATTATGACTGTATGGACCAGAATAATAACTCTCAAGAGCGTGGGTCAAATAAAGAATTGTAAAGAGAATTTCTATGGTGAGGTAGCTGTCTTTATAAGCAAGCCTGATGTTATTAGTTTTAGAATAAAAGTATATTCTCACCTCAACAGAAAGCAAATATAACTTTAATTCAATTAAGTTCTACAAGAGATTAATTAGAGTGAAATTCAAGGTTGTAGGAGTGAACTTGCATATTGAGCAGGGACATCCACAGGTGGGGTCAACAATATTATAAAGGCAGGCATGACTGAGCAATTGAAACCTCACCCCTTTTTAACATGTGTCACATCCATACACACATGTAAAAAGGGATGGGGTTTTGATCACCTGGTTGTACTGCCATCTTGATCCTGTTGACTCCCCCTTGCAGATTCCCTTGATAGTGAGAATAGCACTTTTCTCCCCCATGTAGCCCTTCAACATCTGATTATTCTGTTGTTTCCATCCTTTCAGAGTAGTAATGTGTAATACAATTCATCCAAAGAAACATTTATTTCATTAATTATTTCTCCATTTACAAACATAGTGGTGGTTGTATTTAAAGTTTACATGGATGTAAGTAATACTAGCAAAAGAGACTTTCTGTGAATGATGCAAGTTTAATTCATGTGACCTCAGAGCTGGAGAGACTCATTCTCTCTTGAGTAAACATCAGAATGAGCCAGGCACTCTTCCCGGCTTGCTCTAATTATTTCCAAGCAGCAAGTTAAAGGGATGACCTCTGACATTTTGAAGTATATGTTACAAAACCCTGCACTTTTTTAAATGTACAGCATCCTAAAGCAGCTACCATGAACTACATACGAAGAACTAAACATGTTTATACAGACTTTTTAAAAAAATGAAAAGCAACCACTGGGGTGTCAATAAAAAGTGGATAAACTCGTATCAGCCACCTTTCAATGACAGAAGAAAGGTAGCGTATGAGTATGCTAAATAAAACAGAGTACTGAAGATTTTTCATGGCAACCATTTTTCTTTAAAGCCACTGCTATAACACTAACTCATCCTATACAGGAGATACATGTTTAGAATTTTCCTTCTTGTTTATTTTGCCAGAAAGGTTACACTGAAATTTGAATGGATACTTTGGGCTGGAGGCAGCTCAAAACAGTAGCACTTGTACAGTCTGACAAACAGTTGTTACTTTTAAGCAAACACGTAAAAGGTGATTTTAAAACTGAAATATCAACATTTTTCAATTCAGTATTTATTGTGGCAGACCATAATTATGGACATATTACTTGATCCCTCTTAAGGTGGATAATTCTTCTATAAGTTTTGAGTACAGTCACAAAATAAACAGATATCACTACTGCTTTGCTACTATTTTTAAAATATTCAGCTCTCCCTTCCTGTGAAATCTACAGAACATGTTCACCCTGCTTATGGGGCCACAAAGAGTGGATTCTTCAACCATAAAAGACTTCCAGCTAAATTTATATGGGAAACTCAGGCATTCCTTTAAAAAAAAAAAAAAGAAGAAGAAAACAACTTTTCTTCCACCTATAAGAACCTTAGTGGCAAAAGTAACAGACTTGTGACACCTTAAAGATTAATGTATTACTAATTCATTAGAATTCTCAATGAGGAATATTTTTCTGGATATTCTAGAAATTACTTGGTAGTTTTTCAAACAGTGTTGCTACATTTATCTCCACAAAGGTCAAGATCTTTGGGGAAAAGTCAATGTTTAGGTTAATTTGTTTTGCTAATGTCTATTTTGCATCATAAGCATTTCTCCTAATCACCTTCCAGCAACTCAGTATCGAACAATACCATGTCTGCCACTTCTTCCTCGGAAGCAATTGGAAATTGTTTCAGTGACTCAGGGGAACTCAGTTTTCTGACATCATCAGTATATTTGTGTATCCTAGCAACCATCTGACAGCAAAACACCTAGGCTTTTCATTTTCCCAACATGACAGAATACTGCTACCAGCATTCTAGATATCAACAATAACAAGAAGAAATTGATCCTAGAAAGCTATTCTTATTAGGCACCAGAAATTACGGTACTTTACAGATTAAAAAAACTGCACACAAACTGCAATGACACCAAAATGACAACATGTATGCAATGGTATCATCAAATAAATGCCACTATAATATATTGTGTCCCAATGTCTGATGCAAGTATATAAGTAGCAGTGTTTGTACTGTATCATCATATTCATGTCTTCAACTGCCCCTTGTGTCCCCTGCAGATGCCCATGAAAAATATAGACCCCTATTCTAACTTGCATGCTGTTTGTTCTCCCTTTTACTTGGGAGAGGAATATAAATCAATTGGAGGATACAAGTAAGAATTATGAGAATGGTGTGCTTTCATTTCAGTCAAATGTGATCAGAGCAGCCATGTTTGTTGCTCTCTGACCCAATCACATGTAATGAACAATGGAGCTGGGATCTATTTTTTAGAGCAAAATATGGCACAACTCTGTGGAACAAAACCTAGATCTCTAGTCCTTGGAGTTTAGAATCAGAATGAACTATGGTAACTTCCTGAAGCTATGGAATGGAAAAGGGAAGTTATAGCTCTGGTATCAGATTCTGTTATAAACACCGAAAGCACCTTCATACATAAACAGAGCAAAATACGTTAACAAATGAAAGTGTTCCTATTGTGTTTGATTCTAAAATATGAAGTCAAAGCTTAAAACTACAACAAAAAAGCATAAAGAAGGTAATATCCTCTTTGTAGTTATATTACCTTAACTGTAAAAAAGGTTTTATTTTCTAGCAAAACCAACATGTTACTCAAAGAAGGCCATACTAGAAATTACTCCTGTAAGCATGCTTCAATACTGGAAAGAATTTAAGCTGCCTAAGATTTGATATGCATGGAGAAGAGTTACTTCACATGCTACACAATAAAGCTGATCACCAGTTTCAAAACTGAATTCGCCATTTTTGTGGAGGAAAATATTAGTAGCAATGGTCACTAGCCATGATGACTACACAGTAAAGACCTTACAGCAGCAGAGGCACTACACGGTTCAATTCCTAATGTTCAAAAAGATGAGTGGGAAAGTGTGGCCAAGCTCAGGGGCTGCTTGTAAGCTAACCCAGGCATTTTGTTGGCACCTATGGAAACAGAATGCTGGATTAGACAGGGTAATGCTACAATCCAGCAAGGGTGGATTTCCAAATTTTGTTGGAACCAAGGGTACAAAAGATGAAGTGAAAGAAACCCCATAATCCACAACAGTTACAGGGTGGGCTTAAGGGAGCAGACGTGTCAGGAAAGCATGCAGACACAAACACAGGTAGCAGGATGCACTAGGCTGACAGAAAAGCAGCTCACGATAGTGTGAAGCAGAGAAAGACGAAAACCGGCCTTATCTGAGGTTAAGAACTAACCGAGAGAAAACAGACCTGAGACCTGAGGCGAATTACGGGGGCAACGGCCGGAGATCTTCAGCATTAACGGAGACCTGGGGCGGATTACGCAGGTCCTGAAGAAGGGCACATCCGGAGAGGACGCCGAAAAGTGTCACCGGGCGGCGCTGGCCGAGAGGGGGGACAGGGAATGTGGGGGCCGAGGGAGGCTGGCGACGGCGACCACAATCACAGGCGACCCTTCCCCGAAAGGGCTACAGGTTCTGCCCTTTTCCCCCCCCGCACAACGACCACAGGGAAGAAGAGTAGCGCGTCTTCCTTGCTCCTTCGGGG